GAATCCCGTGTTGGAGGGAAAAGAAATATGGCAGCAACATTTAAATTAAATGTTTAATGTAAAAAGGAGATATTTCATTTTTGGTCCTCTAAAAAGTTGATATTTGATAGTAGATAATTCTACTCTTTCACATATCTGACGCCTGTCACCATATATTTTGTCCCTCCAAACGCAGTGAACTATATACACATGGGAGGCTGACTTCAGTCAGTGACGTAATCAAAAAGTGAAGCCAAAGATGGCGGATTTTGAAGCCATTCTTGCGCCTCATTCTCAGTCTCCTTACCCGCGCGGCCAATCATTTTTTATATTTTCATGGGCATGGCGGGAAGTGATGGGTCCGCGACTCTTGGGTTGTGTTTTCTTCATTTTAAAAGAACAAAAAAGGAAAGAAATTTCATTTATTTCATGTAAACCTGATTTCCTTCATCTTACCGATCTGTCTACTGCATTTTCCCAATGTGTGAGTAAATCTGTATTTTTCGTTGCGAATTCAACAACTAATTTCAATCTTTTTTTTTGCATAAATCTGTATTTTTATAGATTGGGAATTTATTTTTGCTTTGGTTGTTTCGCTTTCTTGTTTCTATGGTGCTTTTCAGTTTTCACACCATCATTTAGCTTATTTTAGACCGTTTTCCTGACCGATTAAACTGCTTTTTAACCGCAATTTTTAGCCAATATAATTCCATACATGTAAGAAAATTGTGTTTTTCTATCTTCTATTTAATAAAATCACTTTGATGATTGCCTTATAAACTTAAACTGTTTATTTTAATGAGTTATTTATGTGTGTGAAATCCTTCTCAATAGGGGCAGTGGAGATATTTTGAAGGATTGAGTAACATTTGTGTTTTGTTTTGTCGCTCTTTGTCATTTACAAAAACAACAGTCCCGCGCTATTTTGCCTTTCCACTCAAATATCGCATCTTTTATAAATAAATAATTATTAAAATTTAGAACTGAACCCAAACAAAACACCAGAATTCAACTTTTCATTCGAATTTCGTCTTTTTTTATCAGGTTTTTTATACTCGGAAAATAAAGAAAAATATAAAAGTTTAGTTGACCGCGCATGTAAGGGGACTAAGAATGACGCGCAAGAATGCCTTCAATTTCGGACCATGTTTGGCTTCACTTATTGAGCGATTGAGCTCGAGTCAGCCTTCCATGTTATATAATTCAGTGTCCAAACGATCCTAGAATGCACTGCCACTGTGATCTCTTTTGGGAAAAGGCCAATTAAATTTTGGTTCGATTTGGATGAAAATTGAATTCGTAGTTATAGTCCATCTGAGAAATTGAATTCGTAGTTATAGTCCATCTGTCCATTGTATAATTTATGCACAAAACCAATCATATGATCGATATGTGTATATATATAATTTATTCAAGAAATCTTGACTTATTTCACTGGCGGAGACATATGTAGTCTCTGAGTGCTCTCTAGTTAATACTTAATCCTTATAGCATAAATTTAATATAGACCGTGACACTGAATCTTAAACACAATCATTCACCTATAACATTAGTCTATTTCAAAGAACTTGACCTAAAATATTTAAACCCTCTACATTTTGTGATGAGCTGTATAAAGCATTTTCTAGAGAAACTACATTAACACAACAGCGAGAAAAGAAGGCGGACATCTTTTTATTGCCGGACACATTGCAATATAATACGACAACTGTTTATAATTAAACATATAATTTTAAAATTTCTTGTGTGTATAATATGTATAATGGCGAAGAAAATGCCTCAAATAACATAATATTCCGAATCACTATCATATACTTAAATACTCTATTGTTTTGAGGAACTACCACACAATAAATATCGTCGCGTGTTTTTGTTAGATCATCTGTTGTTGCACAACAAGTTCATCGTCGATGTACAGAATTACCTCATGGGAAAATTAACCAACCAATGTTGACGGCCGTTTTTTTTCTGAGAACGATCAAATATATATTAACAAAATTTGAATTAATTTCGGTCGTCTAGGAACGAGACCGTTCTGAGAACGATCAAATGCATATTAAGAAAATTTGGAATTAATTTCGGTCGTCTAGGAACGAGACCGAAAAACTAGCGATATAACAGGTGGGTTTAACTCAGAATTACATTCTAGACACAACGACATGCTCATGCAATGAATCTAATGAAGCGGTTTTTGTCTTCAATTAAAGAATTAATACAGAGTGAATTTTCTACAGTACCGGGATATAGATTGTTAGCAGTTCAGTTAGTAACGCGTCGTCGGAAAGCGTTTACTATCTTCATTCCTTCTCGACGCAGAATTGAGTTTCTCCAGAAAAATATCACACAGTTGAACGTCGAGTTCAAAGTCATAAATGTGCTTGACCACGGCCTAAATAACAAATATTGCCTCTCAGACAACAACGTTCTTGGTGCTAAACGTAAAGCTACACATATAATATACGGGCCATAACAACAGAAAAAACAGCCAACTGCCAAAGAACACGTAGAAATACTTTTGAAATTTAAGATTCGCTTTTTCCTATTTTCATCCATCGCTGTAGTTGAAGCAACCCTTTCATCCGCGCGTTTTGACTTCGCGATTACAAAAATTTTGTAATTTGAATAAATGAACAAGAATAGGAGGGATGAAATAGATACACATGAAAAAATATCGACAATTATTTCCAAACTAAAATATACCAATGGCGATAGACCGACCACTATAACCATGCAAAATGCCTGAAAAAATAGAAGCCTTGTTCTTGTGACTGATGCTTGATGGAAAAATGGACACGACAGGGCTAGGAATCGTTCAACATTCAGCGTAAAAAGCGCAATTAACGAGGAACCACATACAACAAAAAATATGCACTTCTTTGTGAGCCGGCGTATTTCAGTAATTTCTCCTTGGGAAAAATAAATTGTAGATACGATCAATAATGGATGAGTGATGGTGACTACAGCCAGATCAAAACAAGATAATACAAGAATCGTAAAGTAGCATAGTTTCTTTCGAAGTTGTGACGACCTCCATAGACTGATTATAACTACAGAATTTAGGAATATTCCTGCAACCATAAAGATTATATTTATAATGCACAAAAATACGACGATATAAGAAGTATCACTTTTTTGCATATTGAAGACTTGTCATGCATGGATGCACATTACTGTCCGTTTCTTCTTATAATTCTATATTGGTCTGCCGTATATATTCGATTTAAACTGAATATATTTTGGAAGACACTCGTGTACCACCTGTTGTTATATACACATGTTTAAAGCAAAATAATGACATATTTTGTCGTTTTGAACGACTTTTTAATAGTAAGTGCAGGGCGCCTTTGTTAATGCAAATTTTGAGCGAAAATTATAAACATATTTAAGACCTGACTGGACAGCATGAGCTCCACCTTTGAATTTACTATATGAGTAAATTCTTAAACACGTCCGAATTTATCATTATGAAAAATTCGCGGCAAATTTTGAATTTATCATAATAATAAATTCGCGGCACCTAACACTAACCCTAACCCCAACCCAACCCAACCCTAACCACTAACCCCTAACCCTAACCACTATTAACCACTAACCACTAACCCTAATTTTTTTAACTTTTTAAATTTTTTTAACTTTTTTAAAACTCTAACTTTTTAAACTTTTCTTGCTTTTTAAAACTCTTTTAAAACTTTTTAAAACTTTTTTAAAAACTATTTTTTTAAAAAACCCGAAAAACTCCCCAGCCCTGCGCGGCCGGCCTCCCTTTTAGTGCCATTACATTTATAACGAGAAACCTTGTGCAATGATTGTGGTTTTATGATTAACTCTATTGATAAATTCAATATGTGCCGCGAATTTATCATAATGATAAATTCGGACGTGTTTAAGAATTTACTCAAATAGTAAATTCAAAGGTGGAGCTCATGTTGGACTGGAAGTGGCTGCGACCGCGGTATTCCAACCACCCCACGTATTCCTTTTCCAGCAGGTGTAAATAGCCGTGCAGAATTAGTATGCTCTCGGCGTGGGCTTCGCCCTATCAGCTCCACGCGTGGTTCGGGGATTAACACGAAAATTTGTGGGGCTAATGGTCATAGGCACAGGGCAAATTATTTAAATTTTTGTTCGATTTGGACGAAAATTGGATGAGAAATTAACAAAATTTTTGTTTTACTGTTCCGGGCAGAGTAAACAACCTCGTTCCCAGGGTATTTGCTCTTGGGAAGCAAAGACCCTGGTGGACGCTGGTCACGTGACCCATAGAAAATTGATAGCCTCAGAGGGGGATGGAAAGATTTCATACACTGATCTGAAATAAGACTGGATAACACATCTATACAGCCTCGTTCCCAGGGCTTTTCCCTTTTTGTCATTGGAAAGGCACAAAAAGGGAAAAGCCCTGGGAACGAGGTTGGCATCTATAGTATACAAAAGTGAAGCCGGAAGTCACCGGCCGCCACCCGATTCTGGGGCCCCACTTTTGTATCGATTTGTATTACAGACGGTAGTTTTTCGCGTTTTTTGCCTTGGCTACGTTTCCGACCGGGCCAATTTTACAATCACAAAGATAGAAGCATACAAGAAGAATTTTGAGCAAAAAATTTGGAGTATTATGGCTTTATAACGCCGCCAAACGGGATTTACAACTCTGAAGGAGTGGAGAGCCTCAGACTTTGTTTATCAACACGAGCTCGTTTTGCTACTTTCATACAAAATCAACTCAAAATATACAAGAATTACTGTTACTGGACGAATATTCTCAGGAAATTTGAAGAAATGAAGCAGCTACATTGTGAACAAAAGCGTTCTGAGGTTTAAATAGTTCTAAAATACCTTGAGGCTACTTTTATAATATTTATATGAGTTTATACAGTTTTAAATATCAGTTTTGTCAAGAGCATTCCTCGGCGCCTTGTTGAGAAGTTTTATGTTTTAAAGTAGGAAGACAAGTGACAATCAAATATTTTGATCCAAATTAAGCCTGTTCTAAACGTCACATGCATTCAAAACAATGGATAATGAGGCATTTCAGCTGATTATCTAATGTTTTGAATGCATTCAGCACATGTAAAATGCAACGTTTAGAACAGGCCTTATAAACAATGACTCGATATGATGTTATTTTAATTCATATAATTATAAAAGTAGCCTCAAGGTGTTTTAAAACTAACCTCTGTACGCTTTCGTTCACAATGCCTAATGTAGCTGTTTCATTTCTTCAAATTTCCTGAGAATATTCGCCCAGTAACAGTAATCCTTGTAAATTTTGAGTTGATTTTGCATGAAAGTAGCAAAACGAGCTCGTGTTGACAAACAAAGTCTGAGGCTCTTCACTCCCTCAGAGTTGTAAATCCCATTTCGCGGCGTTATAAAGCCATAATACTCCAAATTTTTTTCTCAAAATACTTCTTTCTTTGCTTCTATCTTTGTGATTGTAAAATTGGCCCGGTCGGAAACGTAACCAAGGCAAAAAAATGCGAAAAACTACCGTCTGTAATACAAATCTATACAAAAGTGGGGCCCCAGAATCGGGTGGCGGCCGGCGACTTCCGGCTTCACTTTTGTATACTATAGATGCGTTATCCAGTCTTATTTCAGATCAGTGGTCTCATATTACATGTTTCCACTTCCGCACTTCACACTTCGATTGCAAGGAGTGGCCGTTCTGTACAATAATCTTTGAGAATCATATATATTTCAAAATTCTTGCTAAATTGGTTTCTGTTTGCCGTTTTAAATTAATATACAAACATTGTAAAATGCAGATTCTTATAGTAACAGACAAGTCAGGAAATCAAGCAACGAAAACGTATGACCGTATGGTTTGAAATATTTGCGTTTTTAATATTCTCTTGGGGTTCGGGCGCAATATTTTCATTTCACACGTACGTTTCTGTCCTGGCTATGGTTCAGATATTTACAATATTCTTATATGCCATTGAATTGTTGTCATATGGAAAGGAAACGGTAAAAATTTTGTAAAATAGAGGTCTCAAAAGCGACTGACAAAATTGTTTGGAATCGACACTCGACAGTGCACTTTTTTGTCTTCACGAGTACCTGTTTGTTGAGCCAAAATATTGCACAGAATATCCTATAAATTCTATCGCCATTCACCCTCCCACCTTGATTGCAAAGGAATGATATCCGAAAAGATTTAGCAAAGTATTTGTTATATATCCCTGATAAAACATAG